AGTAAAAATGTGCAGAGCTGTCTCTGTCTCTCTCCTTCCACTGAGGGCTGGTCCTGGAAGCCCTGCTGGAATTTGAGGGTTTTTTTGAAGTCAGAAGGCAGCAGGCAGCGAGCAAATCACTGTTATCTGTGTCCTTTTTCAGGGAGAGCTGCGTATCTTTTTCATTTAGGTAATAACAGGCTTTTGGCTGTGACTCCAGCACAAACCCAAGCTGCAGGTGAGCAGCAGGAGCTGAAGACTTTGGCTCAGGCTTAACAATTCACTTTCCACTGGTAATAGGGGTTTTTCCCAGAGCTCTGACAAGGCAGACAGAGTCTGTCCGGGGAGCAGGAGTACAGGAGAGGCAGCATCCCTGATCAGGAAAAAGGAAGAGGAGAATTTGTTGAAGGTGAGAGGACAGTGGCAAGTTTATGGAGAGGGATGAGCAAAGCATAGAGGGCAGAAGGTACTGTGGGAAAGAGAAGCCAGAGACAGAGGTGAGTTGAAAGGATTAGAGCAGGGGGAAAGTAAAGGGAGAAAATGGAGGATTCTGGAAAGGAGCATAAATTTGGGCAAAGTTAAGAAGCGTCAAATTTCTGATCTTGACAAAAAGTCCCCAAAGTAATATTTCTTGAGGAAACCAAATACTAGGTTTCTGAACACCATATGCCATGTTGGTGGAAGGGTCAATTACAAACTCCAAGAAATTCCTGACTGTTATGTGCCTTTTCAAACAGTTGCAGGAGTTTATATTTCTCTCCCTTTTATTTTCTCTCCCATGTTGCAATAGAAAATAAATGAGCACAAACACACACACACAAAAAAAAAAAAAAAAAAAAAAAAAAAGAAGAAGAAGAAGAAAAAACCCAAGAAGTTCAAACTCAGTCATGGGTTAAGTTTGATAATATAGCAGACTATTTCAAGGTGTCTCTCCCTAACGAGTCAATTTTAAAACCTCAGTTTTTCCTCCCCCCAGGAAAGGATTGAATGCAATTTTCCATGTGCAGCAGGATGGTTATACCTTTCAGGCCTTTTGTCCCAGTGGGAGGTCTGTGAACCTCAAAGGAAGCTCTGGTTTACTTGTGAATGTGATTCCAATCAGATGGGGCTTCACTGTCACTCAGGATCTTGCTGACTAGTGATAAATATTCATAGAACTGATTAGACATTAATTGCACAAATCACTACCTCTTCATCCAACCCCAGGATCCTTGCTGCCACCATAGTTAGAGGCAACAGAAAATATCTTTTCTGTAGGTCCCTTAAGGTCAGCCTAGTACCTCAGAAGGAAGAGAGGACTGTTAAATGACTCACCTTGCAACATCCCTTAACATTGCCACCACGGTCCTGCCTCAAATTCTGCCCCAGGTGAAGGGCTGTGTTCCCACTAGTGTAGCCCCCATGGGGCAGGAGTTCCATGGTCTCTGTAGAGACCTCACTGCATTCTGTCCTGCCTCCCTCTCCCCACACAGTGCTTGCTGTCCAACCCCACAAGGACTGTCCTTCCCTGCTCCTCTGTGATCTCTGGTCTTCCCTTACAGAGTGGCTTGCCAGGGCCCTTCTGCAAGGAGAGGGTGAGGAGAGGTATTGGGCTGGGATGCATGTGGGCTGTGTGTACCTGTGTATGTGCAGATGTGCTTGGGTATGTGTGACACACAAACGTCTATATTTGTGTTGGTACTCAGATGCAGAAAGGAATATGTAACCTCACTTATTCAGCAAGGCAGAGGAGCAAAGACGTGCTGTTCTAGCAGGGCTTATGGTCCTCTCCCTGCACATGCCGTGCCCTTGAAAGCCCAGATGCAGTGGCCACCTTGCAACACCACCACTGAAGTGTTGGGCTGGCATGTCCAGTGACATTACTCTCCAACCCCAAAGAAAGAGGAGAGCTGTTGTGACATGGAGTGCTCCTTGGTGGTGTCACACGGTGGCTGCGGTAAAGGTTGCAGGCTCTTCAAGGGATGCCATACCTTCCTTGTTCCTGATATTTGTGCCGCCTCTGCTCTGGAGCTGAGGTGAAAGCCTTGTTCTTGTCATTGCAAGCCCTTCTTCGACAACTACCCACACAAGATCCAGACTCCTCCACCCGCCCTGACTCTTTCCTTGTAGCCCCCTCATCCCACCATACACAGCCTCCTTGTAGGTGGCCCAATAGCATCAGCCTTCAGGAGCAAACTGATGTCTGTATCCAGGCTTACACACAGAGGAATGTGATAACCTGGGACAGGCCACATTCATCTTCATCGCAGGGAGGCAGCAGGATCGGAAATGGTGTGGCAAGATGAGTCTGCTGCACACCCCTGTCGCAGTCACTTAGAGCAGAGCCACTGCAGATGTAACAGCAGTGACACTCTGAGAAACCCTCCTCAGGTCTCAACCGGTCTGCTCTGGCTTCCTTCAACCCCCGAGACTGCCCTCTGTCAGGCTGGAGACAGAATTGAGCCAGAACAAGGTGCAGCACAGAGGCCATGGTGTCTTTGAGAGCCGTCCTGCCCTCTAGATTTGTGCTCCGTATTTTCTGCATGAAGTGCATATTCAAATAAAGTTTTCAGAGGGAGAAAGTACTGCAATGGGTCCCCCACCCTCAGGTAATGAGATGCTTTCCCATCACCAAACATAAGGGATGGGAGACAGGAGGAACTGCTCCTGTTGGACCCACAAACCTGACCGCACCATTTAAACCAACACTTATGCACTGGGTCCGTGCTTCTTTCCATACAAATGTCTCAATCCCAGGGAGTATGAAGACTGGATCCAATCACTCTAAGGCCCTTGTAATAGCCTTCTGTTCCTCCAGGTTTATGGTACAAACTGGAAAACCTGTTGACTCCTTTTAGTGGCAATCACTACACTGCTGTTGAGGGGTGGGGTGTGGGGACTCACACGGTGTAGCACAGAAGGAGTTAAAAGGCTGGCAGTCCCACTCCAGGTAACCCTTTTTAACTAGCATAAACGAGCTGCTTGGTTTTCCCTTTGTGCTGAAGTGTGCGTGTCACACAACTGAACAGTTTCAGGCCTGCCAGGAATGGACAGTATCTCAAATGTATGCTCCCACCCCGTCACTGAACACCACTCCTGGGCAGCTCACCTGCAGAGTCTTGTCTTCCCACATGCCTCCATTTGCTCATTAGCTCCCATCACCAAGGACATTCAAGCCCTGGAAAAAAGACATGTTCAACTCATGTCCTTTGATTGGCTTTGAATCCATAATTCAATCCCGTCCATCTCCATTTGTACACTGTCCTTCCCTTCCACCTCCCCGAAATTTTCTCTCTCCTTTTCTAGATACCTAAGCTGTACTAATTGAGACTGCTGGCTCTCCTCACAGCTGCTCTATCTCTGTTGCTGCAAACAATTTCTAGAATGCCTTTTTAAAATGTATTAGCCTTCCAGAAAGGAGCTGATAAACAGGGATCAGGAGGAAGGGAAGAAGCAGGGAGGAGGCAGGATGAAATGATGTGTTTTATTCCACACATCTGTGGTATTCTCCTCCCAGTCCTTTTATGAAAATAGATGGACAGTTATTATGCAAATGAATTGCTGGGTGTGCGCAGGAGTCCTTAGGCAGTGCAGGGAACAAGTGTCAGTCTTCTGCATACATGTCTGTGTGAACCACATACGCTGCCTATGATGAGGAGGAACACATCTACTAGGTAGATAGCAATCTGTCCAATTTAGTACCTGAAGGGCTCTCTGTGTATCTGTGTGTCTGTGTGCATGCATTCTTGTGTGTGGTGCTGCAGCTGCTCTCAGCAAAGGGAATGTGTGATGGGTGGCCAGCAACACATTCCCTGGTGGTGCCATTCTAGTTGCACAGGTTGTTCCCGTCATGAATTTGCAAGGGCTCCAAGCACGGTTGTCAAAGCACACAGATATGAGTGGAGGGTCAAGTTTTATAGACCTGTCCTCAAACAGACGAGCCAATACCAAGCACACTGGTATTCAGCAGGCATGAGTTCAGGGGTACCACAGGGAGAGTGCACAGGTTTCACTGCTGGAGAGCAACATCAGGTACCATTGTGTTCACAGCACTGAGGAGATTGGGGCATGGTAGAGTAAGGAGCTTGGAAATGAATTTTCTGTGCTGGAGCCAAGGAGAGGCAATGGAAACTCAAACTTACTGTCTCTCTCCCTACCTCAATCTCTAGGAGAGAAGAAACCTGATCCATCTCCTCCCAACTCTTGTGGTTAGTCTGATGGATGGGAATTACACAATTGCCTGTCTCTGTGCATTGTTTTGCTGTTCACAAGTGGTCCTTTCCACCTTGTCCCTGCTAGGAATAAGTCTGCTCTGCTGTGTGTGGGTATCTGGGGGAAGAAGGGAGGGGAAAGGACATAGGCAGCCTGAAGAGAATTGCAAGCATTTGGAATAAGGAGGGACTGGGAAGAGATTGGATAGACTCTGCTGTCATAGGAAAGATCGAGGTGAACTCTAGGAAGGGCTTAGCCTGTATTCCCTCACCCAAGACAAGATTGTGGGTAGAAGAGAGAATCCAGGCTACATTTTGATGGCTTTTGTCACACAGAGTATGAGTGGCAGTAGAACAGATATTTTCACCCAAATCCCATGCTCTGGGGCATCCTTCACCAACTAAATGTGTATTTATGTTTATCTTAAATATATAAGAGATGTTGCCAAGATAAGGGCCCATATTCTGATTTCTCTTCCCATACCTGGACATGACCCTACCTCCCTGTGTTGAACCCAAAGCAAGAGTGATTTTGTGTGTGAGCACATGTGCTCTAGAGCAGCAGGCAGCAAACTCATTCAGTATCATATCAGTGACAAGGAGATTCAATGCAGGAGACATTTGCAGGCACGAGCAGAAGAAAACCTTCACGTTCCTTCTTCAGGGTGAGCGCGTGCTTCAACTCCGAGATACACTCCCTGCCTCTTGAAATTAATTCAACATTCCTGTGGCTTGGATAAAAATAACTAGAATGAATAATCGGCTGTGCTGGCCCTGCTGCAGATTGCCTGGTAGATAGAGCCCTCTGCAGGGAGAAAAAAGGCAATAGACTGAGGCAGCACCAGTGTTTACTAGAAGAGACCCGCAAGGTAACAGATGAGATAGCAATAGCTTATTATGTCCTTCAGCCCTGCAGGTGTCATTGTCTCTAGTGAATCTCTGGATATTTGTCTCTGTGATGTTCCCAGTTTGCAGTCTTACAGCGCCCAGCACCTTTCCTCTTGTCCCATTAACTACTCCTCCCTCCCATGCTGCCCAGCAGCTCCCTGCTTGTACCACACACTCAGCCTGCCTGTGTTTTGGGTGCAGTGCAGCGCTGCGGTGGTGCTCAGGCTGCTTTGTTAGGCACAGGAACATGACAATCTTATCTCACATCCTCTGCCTTTATCACTAAAACGATCGTGTTACCCTGAGTTTTGAGCTTGTTCCAAGCACTTTTATTTATTTCTTTACACAAGAGACAAAAAACCCTAGACTCCAGATGAAGCCAGTGTGTAAAGATGGGAAGATGGGAATGCCTCTGTGTGTGTGTGTGTGTGTGTGTGTGCTTGTGTGTGTATGCACCTCTGATTTTTCATACCTTCTGGCTGCAGGTCTTTCAGATATAAAGCCCAGTCCTCTGAGGTGGTACAAGGAAGCAACATTTGTTGGAGAGCCATCAGCCAGGAGGAAAGCTAGTGTTTGTGTTTCTTCTCTAGGGAGACTAGTGGTGGTCCCTGAGTCTCAAAACAGAGACACAAAAGACCCAGAGCTGCTTCCCTGGTCCCACAGCCCCTCTACAATCTTATCTCCCTATCCAACATCTTTAACTTTCTAAAACCTATGACTCAGTTACAGAGCCGTGAATTCCCAGGATTACAGCCCTCATGGCTACAGGAAGAGGTAGCAAGGGCTCTCTTCTGAAGAGAGGGCTTCTTCCCTTAGCCTCTGATTTCACAGTGAGATCTTAAATATCAATAGCCCCTTCTCCACAACCACTACACATCTGTTCATGGAAAAGAAACCACTGGGGCTTTTCTGCTCTGCAACTGACTGGACCATGCTTGGCTGCTCCAAGACCATCTATGTAGTTCCTCACTGAAAAATACCCAGGCCTGGTTTGATGGCAGGAGGGGCTGGACACATGCTGGAGACATTCTTGTCTCCTCTCAGATCCTGTTCTACATGCCTGGGACTAAATGGGAGAACTCAAAAGCCAGTTGCTGTTGAGCCTTTACGTTCGGACATGAGAAACACCATGTCCACGGTTCTGACAGTCCTCAGTGGATTGCACCCTGCACCTCTGCCTTCAGTTTGGAAAGGGAAGAAACCAATCTGGCAAGTTGTCCTGTCAGTCATCTTCCAGCCAAGTGGAAGGCAGAGGGAACCAATACTCCCAAATTTCTTCACTGGAAGAGCCCAGCATGGGAAGGAAGCTGTCCAGCAGCTACATCTTCCTGCTGCCAGTGACCAGGTCAGGGCTCAGTTTTTGCTGGCAATCTTTTTCTTACGGGCAGAGACAAGATCATAGAAAGGATCCTGTGTGATGCTGGTCCTGGAAATAAGAGGAAATGGGAGCAAAAGTAAGAGATATAATGATGGAGAGTGGCACAGACAACCTAACTGAGCTTGCACAGAGACACCGCTCATCAAAATGTAGGATGAGATCTGCAGAGAATTTAGCTGTAGCTAGAGATTACCCAGAAGGGACCTTGAAATTCTTTGAAGCCAAGAGGTAGCACAGTTGCTACACAGCCAACATTTCTTTCCACCCCTCCTTTCAAGCTCTGGTAGCCAAATAAACTGCATGACCACTTGTCCTTGGGGCAAGCTCAGGCCTCCAGTTCTGGTCTCCTCACCGTATTGCCTCAATCCACTCATCACGTTCTGCTGGTGTGGCTGCTGAGATCTTGTAGGACTGATGCTTGCCTTCAACCACCTTCCCATCCCCATCTGTTTTACAGGCTTTGATCTTCTGCCCTTTGCAGTTGGGATTGAAGAGCTCAAAACAGTTCTGTCAGAAAGGGAATAAAATGGGCCATTAGGGGAGGACAGGGTGGACCAAGGATACTACGCTGCATTCAACCATGGGTGACAGGCTCAAACAGCTTCCAAAGGAGAGGAGAGCATTCTGCCTGAAATGCAACAAAGCTTTTCCTTCCCCTCCCCAAGAATCCTCCTATGAGTTAGATCTCCAGGCCACCCCTTTTAGGTAAACACACACCTCCTGTGAAGGACTGGACACTAAAACAGGCTTTAAGGAGAGATGGAGCATCAACAGTTATCAGAAAACACCTTCTGAGATCTTTCACTCGGCTCCGCTCATGAAGATCTCTCCCTCTTTTACATGGATGCAACATCCTCTCTTCTGCCTGCCACCACACAGATAAAAAGCACTTTTCCCAGAGTCGTGACACAGCAAAGAGTGGGTATCCCCAAGAGATGCCCAAACAAAGAGCATTAATTCCTGGGCAAACTTCCTAACACCACAGCACTGTTTGGTTTAGATAGTTCTGTAACTCACTATGGAGAGTCCCAGGGAGATAAATTGAACTCACATCTCTGGGTGCAAAATGAGTAGGGAGTCAGCTGTGGGTACTCATCTCTGTCCCTACCCATACACACACACACACATGAAAACATACAACACAGCCAGCCAAAGGACAGCTCTCCATTCACACCAGGTCTTCCCTGGCAAAATACAATCATGTTTAGATACCATCATGTTTTGATGGGGGAACAAGGCAGTTTGGAATGGCACCTTCCTTCTGAGAAGCATGGTAAGATTAGGGTGTGTGCACCCCCTCTTTCCTCTGACTGCCTGAGAGCCTGCATTGGCAGAGTACCAAGCCATGAAGACTTACTGGCTTTTTGGGATCATCCACCTTCCGGACTGATAGGTTCTCCAGGGGGATAATGCCCAGAGGCTCTTTGTCCTGAAGGCAAGGAAACATGAATTAACATCCAACATGCTCCTCACATCTATGCCACGATTTGGAACCTCTCTGATTTCCCAGATGTGTGCCTTTGTGGGAGTGACAAGGGCAATGTGTGCCTGGGGAGACCCCCCCCTCCATTTACACACTGGGGAGTTTAGTTAATAAGAGATCACAGCAACAGCTTCAGTGTCTACTCTCTCTCCTCTTCAAGACCTGAGGTGAGGGAACAGCATGGGAGAGAAGGGAGGTCTGAGTTCAGTCTGGGAGCATATGGTGGAAGGGAAGAGTTGCCCCCTACACTCTGCTCCTCCCTGGACCCTCAGAGGCTCATAGCCACCCAGGACACAGTTCCCCAACCAGGAATTAAGCCTTTACCGTGGTATATTCAAAGTAGTACAGGCAGTTATCGGTCAGAATGAACCAACGGCGTTTCCAGGTTTTCACACGTCCTCCTGAAGGCAGTGAGGTTCAAAAGCCATTAGTCACACATTTTGTTATCCTTCCTGCCTGCCCTGTCCCCCAGGCTCCAGACATGCACACACAGGCATAGCCTCCCAGCTCTCCCTGTAGATCAGCCCCAAGGAGGCAACCGTGGTGCTCACTGCTGATGTGATGCCCTATGGTGAACACACACACACACACACACACACACACACACACACACACAGATGGAGCCAATTTTGCTCTGATGGGGCTGGGAATGGAGAGGGGTGAGGGCTATCTTTTTGAGTCCCTTTTTGGGCAGACAGAGCAGGCAGGAGATGGGAGGAGAGAGCAGGCGGCTGGTTTCAACAGCAGGTGTCAGCCTCAGCCCACCGCAGCAGCTGGGAGGGAAGGATAGCGGAGATGCTGGTGGGTAACTGGGGGAGATTTGTGGTGGGAGGCAGGCAGGTGGAGAATTCAGAGGAGCTAGGGCAATCCTTCTCCTTACCTAGTTTCAGGAGCCAGCCCTCACGGTTAGGGTTGAAGAAAGTATGAGTGAGGTCATTCCCATCATCCTCTGGTATGGAGAATGGCTCGTTCTTTATGCTCTCAAACAGATTCTGTCACAGAGTGATGGTGAGGAAAAGAAAAAGAAAGAAAAACAGATTCCCGACAAAGCTTGTACACAACTCTCCTAGGTCCATCTGGTTCATCACTCTGTTTCCACAGGGGCAGGTGGGTGAATGGGGAGGGGAGCAGGCAGTGGGCACTGGGGGTACAACAGCCCTCAGTCTACACTTCACAAGGTTTCAAGGGGGATCACCAGCTCTTTTCTGCATCCTGCATCCAAAAAAGTTACCCAATTTGGAAAGTCACAGACAGAGAAGTGTGCACCCATTTCAAGAGAGGCTGCAGTGACCAAATCCAGCATCTCATGTGAGTGCTGCTGTGGGTAGTACTAAGGCACTGGGTGGGGGGACAGGACACAGGAGAGATTGCAGCCCCATTTAGGCCCTGGACTGGTGGCGTCAAACACTCTGCTGAGAACTTGTACATAGAGACTAACACACAGATCTACATGACCACAAGGAGGCACTTTTCATAGAACCAAGGCTTTCGCACTGACGGACACAAAGTGTGACATTCATAACAGCAGAGAGACAGGGAGGCAGGTTACTAGCTTTCACAGGATACAAAAATCTTGTTCACATCATTGGATGTGCCATCATTTATTACACAAGTCCCAAGCCAAGAAAAAAAAAACAAACCTACAGTCTCCCGCAACTTCCTTCAAATTGCCTGAAAGAAATGACACCCTGGAGAAAAATATAAAGCCTTTACCCTGAGGGGATGCTGCTCAGCAAACCCAACTGTGGGATGTAGGCAGCCTCTTTGACACAAGACACAGGTTATTCTCTCCGAATCGGTTGGGTGAAGCTAGACACATGTAGGCAGGCTGTCTACCTCTCCCTTGCCTCATAGGCAGGTCCCATGCCTGCTGAGCCTTTGGGAAAATGGTAGTTCCAGCTTTGATAACAGATACATCCCCTGTCTCTGTCTGTTCCACTCTGCATCTTCATCCTCTGGGATCAGAGACACCAGGGACCTGCTGAGAGCTTTACAGAAGCTGAAAGAGATGCTGGAAGAGACACTGACACTCATTTCAGGCTTGTTGGTTCTACTCACTCAAAGATATATCCTGGTGTAAGAGAGGTCAGGCACTGGTGTCCTGACTGATGTGAACACTGGAGTCAGCTGAGATATTTAGGTACGAACAAGGGAAAGGGATTCAAAATCTGGGCTATGGTGACATTGCCACAGACACACAGACACACAAGAAAGAGACGGTCCCCTTAGGGACTGGGTCTCTCAAAGCTGACCAAAAGAGTCGGCTGCCCAGCTACCTCCCACAGAAGTGGGTGCCCCATTCACACAGCTTCATACCTACATGACACACAGACACTTGCAGCTCGTGTCTTCCTCTCTCACACAGTTACAGTATCTGTTCCTCTCTCACACAGACACACTCAAAACCATGAACTTTCTCAAACAAATACTGCTGCTCCCTGAATGTCTCCAGCCCCGTTTCTCTCGCCCCATGTCCTCACCAACAAGTATGTGTGCAATCCCTCTCCAAAGCTGTTTCCACATTTTCCAGCTTTGCTTTTGTACATACTGCCCTCTTTCCTTGTGCAGCCCTTGCCCTTGTACAGCAGAAAGTCAGTAGGCCTGTATTACACTGAGACCTGTGCACCTTTCCTTCTCAGTGGATCCCCAAGCCAGAGAGAAAAGAGGGACTGGTGAGAAATGGGAGGTCTCCTTACCTTTAAGAGCTCTTCTGGCAGGTCCCCACCATTGTCAATGCCTCTGTTGATGGATACAAACCTCTCAAAGGGGGGTTTGTCTTTCACATTGGGGTTGTGCAGGCTGGTGTTAAGCATGATGATAGAGAAGGACAGTATGTAGCAGGTATCTGACAATGAGAAAGAAAACCAGAATGGGTGGCATTTGTCTTAAAGGGCAGATAAACCCACACACTAACAGGTGGTTTGGTTTCCAGTCACTGGAGAACGGTATCATCCTCTCAGCTATAGGAGGAAAAGGGAGATGTCCTCTCTGCTAGGAGAAAGAGGGACAGAGTTGATTTCTTATGATGGAGGTGATTCCATTCCCTTAGGGTTATGGGGCAAATTGGGTAGCTCTGGTCTGATAATGGCTTTGCCAGCCAGGAAAGATTCTACAGACCCATGTCTGTCAGTGCTATCCTTGCTGCAATGAGGGGTATCTCACGTGGTGCTGAGAGCACTTCTCAAGTCTATTGCCCATAAGGATGGACTGAAGCACAATAGCAAAAGAACTGAAGACCCTCAACCTATTGAAAATCTTCACAGGAACTGGGCTACCTCCTTCAGCTTAAGGGGAAACATCTACACTTCCAAGTGATGCCCTCTGTGCTTTATGGATGGAAAAGGAAGGGTCTTCTCTAGCAAACAGTGGATCTCATCTTTACAGGCCTTCTACTCCTCATAACTACCTGTGGACTTGAATACTCCTGGGTTACACTTGCAGTACCAGTTGGCAAATGCCTCCATCATCCGGTCAATCTTCTGCGCTTCCCCAGGCAGCCGGAAGCTCCATAGGAACTGTCTGTCAGGAGCAGCATGCCAAAGAGTTACTGAGATCAGGTGCAAGAGACATTTATCCCTTTCCTCAACTCATGGAACACCATGAAAATAAAATGTCATCCCATCACACTGGGGAGACAACACCGTGCATGAAGCAGGAGCTCTGTTCCTTTCTCTAGAAATTGCTTGGACTTATCAGCCTCAAACACTCTAAAAGCAGGAAGCAGAACTAGTCATTCTAGAAATCATGGCTCCTCTTCCCTAATGAGTGCCCTGCAAGGCAGCAGAGACCTCAAGAGAAAGAGTCCTGCCAGGAGGCTGACCTATAAGAAAAAAGCATACCAAGGTATAAGACAGAGTCACTTTGTCACGAACATAACAAGCACTGTGGACAGACATGTTTCCTGGTGCAAAAAATAACATTCCCCATCCTCCCAGCCATTTAAGCCACAGTGACCAACTTTGCTTTTCCCATCTTCTCTGAACATGGCCAGTCCAGTCAAGGGGCCAGGAAAGAGTTCCTCCAGGAAAAGGAGTTAACACCTCACAGAGCAACAGTCTTGGAGCCAACACATGCATCAGGGACTTGGGAACCCCCATTTCAGCCCAGGAGGGCTCCACCACCTTCCTGGGTAATAAGACCTGGTGGCTGAGCAGGCTCCTGCTCCATCCCCTGCATCCTACATGCTCACTCACCTCAGTGCCTGCACCAGGTTGAGGTTGGCAAACTGGTGACATGCCACAAAGGCTTGGAGGATCTGAATGTTTGTGGTGTCCCTGGGAGAGGATTGAAAGAAAAGGTCAGAAGAGAGCTTTGACCCTGCTCAGTTTGGATGTCCCTTGGTGTGACAAGACACACCTGGCTCCGTCCCAGCCTCCACTTCCCCTCTGACCAACAAGAAGCCCAGATGCACACTCTTGTCTGGGAAGACTGACCCCACTACAGGCAGGAGGAAAGGTAACTCATAGAGCCAGCCTTAGCCACACTCCAAAGGCCTCCCACCCCAGGGTGTACTGTCCATCCAGCTTGCTGCAGTCTGAGATATGTTCAGGCTTGGCATCTGGCTGAGGTCTGCCAGGGGTCATCTGAAATAGTGGTTGCAAGGGGCCGGGCAGGACAGGGCCTCCAAAGGGTCTCCTCATCCTGGCTGCATTTCTCACCTTCCTCCCAGGTAATCCCCAATGGCTGTCTTGTTCAGGCCTTCTCCCTTGTGGAGGAATTTGGCAATCTCGTGCAGGTCTGAGGACAGTAACTGGTGCTCAATCAGGTACTGGATCCCCTGGGGAAGGAGAAAAAAAGACAGTGAAGTAAGACAGCTCTGTGAGCTGATGAGAAAGTGGGACCGCAACACCCTGATACCAGCTTTCCTTGGCTTTGATGATGTTTCCTCCTCTGTTACTCTTCAGCCCCTTTATGAGAGATCACAGCCATGTTCCTACCCTTATTCCATCCCTCTTCATTCACTGTGGTGAGCCAGTCGCAGTTTCATTTCATCCCTAGATTTGGATAAATGTTTCACTGGGATGGAAACTCAAGCAAACAAAAAAGGGCAATGTAGGTTGAAAGGCCAAAAAGGTAAAGTTAAAATAGTTCATTTTAGCATTTTCCATCAAAATACCTTAGTGTTCTCTTCCTAAATGTCATTTTTTTTCTGGATTAACTTAAAGAAAAAAATGTTTGTTTAAAAGAAGACATAATAAAAAAATGTACTCAGACAAAAATACGGGCTTGAGACAACTTAAAATTGTTTTTTCCTAAATTTTCTTCTATACCTCAGAACAGAGAAGTCTGCAATCTTTTCAGCTCCATCCTCCCCAGCCAGTAAGGGTGGAATATGTTTTTTAAAGAATATAGAGGGTTTGAGTTGGGCTGTGCAAAGAAGAGTCAACATCCTATTTTAGAGACAATTTTATAATTTTCAAAGTCACAGAGAGTTGAGGTTTTGTTCACATTCTAAACAATATCTAAAACTCTCAAGACCACATTGCAATTCTCCTCACAAAATACAATAAAGGAATGAAAATTGTTTTAGATCCATCAAAATGTTCTACTTCAACAGAATCAATTCACTTTGCCTTGTAATATGTAAGAAACTATTTCTAAAATGCCCCAAAGAAAAAGCAGTTTCAAATGAAGAAATTGAAATGTTTGTGAGACTTTTCCACAGTGTTTTCCTTTCTTTTTCCCAAGACAGAATTTTGGTAAGATCAATTTAATTTTGCAAAGTATTGCAGTGATGATTTTTCAGAAGAAAATGTTTCTCCCAAAAGGTTTTGTTCTGCCAGATTCCTAACACTTACTTTTCTAGCCTCAGGAACTCGACCTGAGATCTTGGAGACAGGAACTCATTTAAAGTATGAGCATTGCATGGATGAAGTGTAACCTTAGCAAGGAGGGACAAAGAAAGTTCCTTGCAATGAAGCACCTCTCAGCCTACAGAGTGTAGCAAAAGGGAAGCAATAAACAGAGAGCTGCATAATATAGGCACATGGTATAATGTTTTAATGAGGCTGATCAGCTTTGAACTAATAAAGCTAAATTGGTTCGGGGTCAGAACTATTTCAGGTATTTCTGCACAGTATGGCACAGTGCCACAGAGAGGGATGCCTCTGGGGCCTCAAACCAAGGTCAGACAGAAAGACAAAATGAAACCTGCTCTCACGCAGGCTGTGAGTACTGATATCACTGCTCTGAGAGAGCTCCCAGTGGCAGAGGGATGTCCGGGGGGACTGGCAAGCACTCCAGCTGTGGTGGGTGTGGATGCTGGGGAAGGCATCTCAAGGGTCTTAGTAGGGCAGCGGAGGAGGCGTGAAAAGTTGTCACTCAGACCAGCAGCCACCCAAGATGCTAGCTGTGGTGGCTAGCTGACAGTGAGCAATTGCTCGATCGCAGCTTGTGGTTTTCCTTACAGAGCTCAAAAAGAATGGTCTGCCAGTGAGAAGGAAGGAAGAGGAAACTATCTTTCTCACATCTTCTCTACTTAATCATGATGATTTTAGAGCTTTCTGCAGAGGACTGAAGGCTATGGAATCTGGGGTCCACTGGCCAGAGTCCCAGAAAGTGGAGAAACTGTATTCACTCCACAGTCCCACCAGTACTACCAAAACTACTTCCAAAATGACAGAGGCAGCTTGTCCTCTTCTGTTCTGAATGAGCCAAGGAACCTGACACACTCTCAAAACTTCTCACCTTCTTCTTACTTCATCTTCCTCCATCACGCTACAGCCAATTCTTAGCCTCTCACAGGCAAGAAGAGCTGGGCTGAAGGATATTTGTCTCTCTTGACACATTGGCAGTCCCTTTATCTCTCTTAGTTTTGGGTTGTATCTGATGGGATGGCCTACAGGCACATGATGGGGAGGGGCAACACAGCTTCATCTTATTCAGGGAGAAGATGGAAGGTGTTACTAACTGGAGCCTTAGGAAACCAGCCCCATTGTCCCTTGATGTAGTTCCTTTGACATGGGTGGCTGCAAGTAGATCAGTGGCCAACAGAAGCTCTTCTGTTTCTCCTCATAAGTGAAATGAACAAATCCTACCTTTGCAGGGTCCATATTGAATTTCTTCCGGCCCAGGGACAGAAGTTTATTCTTCTGTGATAGTTTGCTGCAAGCACAAAGAAGGAGGAAAGTCAAACTTAGAATAAAGGGTCATGTTTCTATTCACTCACAAGATAACTCAGATATCTCAAGGACAGGTCTCTGACTATCCATGAATAAAGAGAATTCTCAGAGAAGAGAAGGGTATTCCTGGCCTCATTTCCCTGTCCTTGTTGTGATCCAAATCCCAGCAGTGTTTTTGTCTTCTCAACATCAACAGAGAGACTTTGTAAACAAAGGAATACCCATCTTGTCCCACTTGCCTGGTCTGATCCCCAGGATTATTGTCTGTCTCTTGTCTCTCCTCTGCATTTTGGAAGCGCTCAATCTCTGCAAACACTTCAGCAATCTCTTCCTTCAACTTCTGCAAAAGAAATACTAAGAGGATGAAGGCAGTGCAGGGAAAAACAGCAGACACCTACAGAGCATGTCTTCTTCCCTCAATCATAGGAGGACGAGTCAGATGCTCATGATCAGTCAAGGATATCTATGAGATGGGCACTGTTCTGGGGTGACCCTGCTGGATTACAGATGAAAACAATGGGAGAGAGGGGTAGAGGGATGTTCTCACGTCTGTTGTGAATCAAGGTTGGAAAATCAAGCTTAGCCACTGTGGAGAGTGTCAGAGAACTCACCCCAGTGTTGATTTCAGTTCCTCAAACAATGTCAGATGTGACACTCCTTCCATTATGCCCATTTCCTTCTAGCTTTTACTTTGCATAGCCCTGCTACACATCCAGGCAAGGGGAAGTGGAACAAATATCTGTGAGGTCTATATGAACCTGAAGTGGCTACGTTGTGAAACACAGAGTTTTCAACATATCTACCATTCAAATATCATTGAGCAGATACCTGTATTTACATGGAGAAAGAAGACAGGAGAAGTAAAAGAAGAGGAATAACTGCCAAATTTTAAAAATGTCAATTGTAGAATTCAGTTTCCTTTAGGCCCATGACAGACCATGGCCTTCTTGGCTGGATATTCTGTGTTACCAACGAAAAGAAGATGCCTATTTCCATCCTGCAGTTATGGTCCTCCTCAGAGCCAGAGTGCGTCACAGCTCTCTTCCAGGAATCACCCAAATTCTTCCCCATGCAAACCAGAATAGGCAGGGGAAGAAGGGTTGTTTTATGACAGATCTTGCCTCAACGAGGAGTGAGGATGTGGCCACAGTATGCACCCAGATAGAGAAACTGAAATTCTCAAATATCCCATAATTTAAAAGAGAAGAGGTTCTGGATTTCAGTTTTGCTCCAGCCTTCATTCTGTTGTCCTTCATTGGTCTCCAGAGCTGGGAGCATTCTTTACTTAGCTTTAGGTATTTTACAGATGTAAAAAATCTGTGACCTTAGCTCCTGAATTTCAAATTATTATCAGTTTTGTTATTTTATTCACTGCTGTCTTTTGGCAGTGTAACCGGCAATCCTAGACTCATCCTCTCTCCTCCTCCCCTTCTCCCCACCAGACATCCTGCCAAGTATTTATGTTAAAGGGCATTGATAGACATTTTCTGAAGAAATCCACCTGGGAAAATGTCTCTAGTTCTAGGTACTCTTTCACCTAAATCCATCCTGCTCCATTAGACAGTACATACCCCATTGGTTAATGGTTTGGGGATTTACAGTATGGGTCTGTGTAGTCTAGCAGCTTTCCTTTGACCATTCTGGATAAAAAATGTAGTATTCCTATTCAAATATCCTGCATCATACAATGGCCATTGCCTATTCTGAGAATTGAAGAGATAAGAACCACACACAAGCCAATCACATGCACATGCATTCATAGCATGTTTTGCAGGAAGGGACAAGGCACTGTTCTGATTTGCAGTGGAGATGGTGAGTCTGGAAGACTGAGAAGTAATAAGTAGTTTGGCTTAGTCCTTTATGCAAGGAAATATTGCACCTATTCCTCAGGCATCTGGACATCTCTATGTTGTGGGAAAATCAGTGCAAGTCCAATGATTCAGTGCCATAAGCTCTTTCAAATGGGAGACCACATTCCATGGTGGTGGAGGCAGAACTGAATAGAAAGTGTACAGCACCGTGCATGACTGTGATGTGATATTACTGACTGATTTTGAATCTGTCACTTTCAGACATTTTAGGGGCTCAGTGGATAAATGTTTGGGTTTGCTAAAAGAAAAGAAGAAAATCAAGTTCAACCATGGAAACTTGTGTGGAAGGTCCTGCCATCACACCTCTCTAAAGAGACAGGCTCCTTCATGGATGACTTGTTAGAGGTCCACAAACCAAACAAAAGTTTGATAAACACAGGGGGATGCAGCAGGTAACTAGGACTGATGAGCAGGTAAACAGTAATTAAAAATAATCATAAATGCTGAGCCAGACCCCTGCCAGTGTGACTTAGTAAAGTCACACTAATTTCCTTAATTGTAAATATTTAATCCTGGCTCATCCCTGCTAATGTGCTGATCGGCCTTTCTCAAATATCCCATTGGGGTAGTTGACGACTCCTGCAGCAGAGAGTAGCACAGGTTGGATGTACACTGGTGGCAAATATGCCAGGGCAGCCTGAAGTTCAGAATTCAGGTTGGATCATGGCAGAGCAAATGTCTCATGTGCAGAAGCGCTTCTGCATGGTCTGGACTGTTATGTTAAGACATTCCTTGGTGAGGACAGTTTTGAGACAGCTAAGTAGACAGGAGGAACAGGATGATCTTTACCTTAATGTCCTCCAAAAGCTCCTGTCGGTGCTGTCTGATTGTCTCTATTTCAGCCTCTTCAGCTTCACTCAAGTCAGTTGACCCTGGAAGAACAAAGATGCCTGTGAGAATAATACTGGGGCAAACATATCACAGGAAAAGTTGCCTCAGCCTCTCAGTGCCTATCCTTTCCTAGGGTCGTGCCACGGGAACCCTGATTTCTGTGTTTCAGCATGTGTGTTCCCTGCTGCTACAGACACTGCACCTTAGCTTTGCCCTGCAAATGGTTCTCAGTCCAGAGCGAGCAGCACAGACCCATATATCCCTGCCAGCAGCCAGCCACTGTGCTGACAGCCCTCTGATCTAACCCTGCAGCAACCCACCCCACCTACTCAACCAATTTTGCTCACTGTGAGCACAATGAAGAGGTCTTACCAAATGCTCTTTGGTGGTTTTTATGTCAGTGATCTCTGAAAAGCTGTAACCTAAATACTTCATCTACATCCAAACCTCCCATGAAGAGCCACTGGCTTCATGGATTGATCCACCTCAGCTAGAGTCAGAAATGTCTTAAGAGAGAGAATTGAGGTTTTTCAAGTCTGAGGGCAGGATCTGGGGGGGATGAAAGTCTTGCTGAAGAAGGAGCATCTGTGGGAGGCTGTTGTTCTGTGGACTACAGACAGTGCTGAAATATGAGTAGGCTTCCTTGTAATGTACAGGAAGTTAAAGAGATACCAGCAGAGCCAAGGTGACCACAAAATGATTCATAAAAGACCTAAAAGAATTGGGGTGACAGCAATATTGCTAAATATAATCCAGGTGAAGCATAGACTCTTCAGCAAGGAGAAACAGGAGGTTGCAGCCCTAGAGAGGCAAAGCAGATGGTGAGTCCTAGGAAGAAAAAAGGGGGATCACACAAGGTTGGGAGCACTGGAGCTCCTGGGACGTCACTGCAGAACTTGTAGACAGGGTCCTTGCTGCACCTAAACACTGCGAGACAAAGCTTCCCCAGGAAGGCAGGTCAGGTCACTAGATGCCCTGCTTCACTGTTTCATAAGCCAAAATCCCCTGGGCCACCCATCTTCCTGGAAAAAGGGGAAGTGGTGCCAGTTGCCTTGGAAATTCTCTTAGTGTGGATCTCACATGCAAAAAAACCTGCTATAAATATGAGTGGGGAAAAAAGGGGAAGGAACCAGCCAAGACAGAAGGAAAGGGGTACAAGGGCAGTCAGCTCAGAGTCCATATGCTTCTTTGCTGTCATGGCCACAACAGCTCAGAGACACCCGCCTTCCCTGCTCCTAATCTTCCCCCCATCCTCCCAGCTGGTTGGGTTTCCATGTGCTAAGTTTGTCCTATTGCTTTTCTCAGGCTGCAGCCTCTCTCCCCTCACTCCTCCTGCTGTTTTTGAGCATTGCATTCCCTGGGGAGAGGCTGCTGAGCCTCTGGGAGGAAAGCACCGGGCAAGGAGCCAGCATGAAGCCAGGACCCATGTCCCCTCCCAACTCTGCAAGCAGCCCTCATGAAGAGCTGAAAGAAGCTGGCTGATTGCTCAAGCCTGTCAAGAGGGGAGGAAAACCTGTGGCATCCAGCAGCTCGCAACATCCAAGTCTGTATGTGAGACGAAAGCAAACAAGCAAGCAAAGAAACAAACAAAAAAACTAAGCAAACAAACAACAACAAAAAAAAAACCCCATGCAGTGGCTTTGCTGCTTGTTAGGCAGGTTGCTGACTTCCCCTTGAATGTCAGCCCTGTGCCTGCGAGCAGTGCCTGGGTCTTTCAGCTTACTTTATGTCTCCTGCCATTTTGGCATCTGCAAGAGATGAGGCCAGCCTCTTGGTCTCCCCTGCTTTAACTCTCTCACCTCTACTGGGGCTGGTAACTGTGGAAACACTGGAGTGATTCCTTGACAAACTACCACTAAGACCCTTTGTCTGTACTTCCTTCCATAAAAGCGCGGTAGCAGGACATACCTGAGGAAGCTCCCCTTCCCCCACCCCACCAGCAGAGTCTGTGGTGTGGCTGGTTGCTTTGCTTCAGTTGTTCTGTGTCTGCTGAAGCAGCCTAAAGCATCTCAAAGAGATGTGAGGCTCCCAGAGGAAATCATCTCACCCACACGACCCCCACTGACACTGTAAATAACTCAGTCCTCCTTCCTCCTCAACATCTGAGAACCTCGACTCCCAAGTAATTAACTTGTCCAGTTTGTCAGAATGAGAAAAGTGTGGGAAGGACTGTGTGTGTGATGAGGGCAGGGGAGAAAAAGCATAAGTCGTGGAGAAGGGGAGGGAATCAAGGGATAAAATCAGGAAAGGGTGACATAGTATGGAAAAAAATGGGTGGATCGAACTTTCAGAGCTATTTAGATCAAGCTGCAGAGAGGGTCCTTATAAGGTTTCCTAAGTTTTCTAAACAGCTTAAGTCCTTGATTGCCTTGGAAAATAATTCCAAGGTTGGTGCCTTCATGTTATTCTGATTCCCTAACAGAAGGCATAATGCTCTCCTCAAGGCTGTTTTGAGGCTGTTCATCTATGTTATTGCACACGTTGGGGTCTACAGTTCGGGGAAGTGAACACAAAAGGCTTATTTGGGGAACTGTCCACAGAAAGGCAGCGAAGGCAGCAGAGGCAGCTGCGCAAGCAGCAGATGAGATAATGTGAGGAGGCTGCTTTGCCTTTCCTTCCTTCTTGATGTTGAGAATGAGCCAAGGCAGCAGGAGAGGGACATTCCAAGTGAAGCACTGCCCAGCTCGCTCCAGATGCTTGTAATGGCAGAGGGAATTCATCCCTGCATGGGGGGACTGAGGAACGACTTCAGCCTCGCCAGAGTCCTCAGTGCCACCAAGTTCCACTTCCCTCTAGGACTAGGTCAGGACGCAGATGAAGCATAGCCCTGGTGAGGGTTCTTTGCACAGGGGGAAATTTCACCCCATGAAAACACCCACAAGTTTCAGGGGGTTGCTGTCAGCCAAACCAACGCTGAAGTCTTCCAGTTCAGACACGACATAAAAAATTGGCTAGCATCTTCTCCAGAGAGGACATGAAGATGTTGCTTAGAATTTATTTTCAGAGAGCAAACGTTTAAAGGAAAGTACATCAGCATCACATTTGTGGGGCTTACACCTGCTCTTGAGGTTGTTTCCCCACCCTCAGGGCAGACCCAGATAGAAAGACGTGCCAGTTCTTCATGAATTGCACAGGCTTGTATTTTTAGTGCTGTCACTCAAAACAGAACACAGATTTCAATTCCAGTTGTGGTGACTTACGCCCTCAGCCTCCCCACCTGGAGGGCAGGTCGGAGTTACCCAAAAGTCTGGGTACTCATGGGGCCAGCAGAAAGTACTGTGTTTGCTGGTCTCATTTCCCATTGCAAAGGTCTGTGCAGACCCATCTGGGTGCTAAGTGAGGCTTTCCATCCCAATCAAAAGTATATAAATGGGAAGATAGCTTTTGATGCACGGAGATAAGTGGGAAGTGACTACCCAGGAGAGCTGGAAGGATGAACTGCAGAAACTGTAGGGGAAAGTTATGAAGAATGACTGCATCTGTAGCACTGTTACAGACCATCCACGTTCCACCCACCCACAGTATAACAGCAGTTCAGCTGGCTCATTTGCAAGGCAATGTAGGGCTCTGAGTGTAGCTGCTAAAGGCTTTGGGCACCCCCACCCATGGCAGCACACAAGCAGAGCAGCCTGGTGGGAATCTTCTGCCTGGGTGAGGCTGTCTGGTGGAAGAATTTCACCTGAAATTCCTTTTCTTTTTTGATATGGCTGCTGTGTCATCTCCAGCACAGAATCATTACCTCCCCAGCCAGGTACCAGGCTGGTACCAGGCAGATAACAGGAAACTTTCCAGCTCCTCAATTTTGTCCAGCCCAATCTGTCTCCCTCCTGCAGCCACTCCACAGTTCTGCTACAGCTTGTGTCAGAAGAAATTCAACATGGACCTCACACAGGTTTTAATTTGCACATTCATGATATGGGGGGAAATTTGTGAAGAAGAATTTATTGCGTCTCCTGGTCCCCTTATCACCCATGACAACTTACATCAATCAGGATAGCTTCCAGCCACTTTTGCCTACGGTTCTCACCCCACACATCCTTGCGCGTGATACCACGGTACCAGTCTGCTCTCCCTTTTTTCACACACCCAGCTCAAGGATTTGGCATACTGGCTCTGTGGCCTCACCTAGGCAGTTTCTAGAAGGTCCTGAAGCAAGCTGGAAGAGGACATCCACTGCAGGGAGACCAGCCTCCCCACAGATGTAGGTCTCATCTGCATGCAGCTGGGGCTGACTGGTACCTAAAAGGACCATTGCATCGCCAGGTAGGAGTAACTCCAGGAAAAGGTGTATGTGCACCCCTGACCTTCAGGAAAATCATGCCACAACTGAGCAACTTTAAACACTTCCAGTGCTCTGAAGCTCACTGGAAAACTGCATCTGGCAGCAGCCTTGGCACCCAGGGTAGAGCAGCATCAAACAGACCCACTTTCCCACCCAGCTGTAAAGTGACAGGCTGGGACTGAGCAAAGACTTCAGTCAGAAACAGCACATCTTTCCAGGCATTGCCTGCCTCCAGGCTCTGCCTCTAGCCAGAGCTGAGCAAACCTGCACTGTCCCTGAGCAGGATCTCATTGTGCTATTGCACTATGTAACTTCTGAGACGTAATTAACTCAGTAACACACTGAGTGAATGACTGTGTCAGACCATCAGTTCTGAGAGCCTCAGTTTCTGAGGAAAGCATACCCCAAAATAACCAGCAAAACGTGATGTACCCTCTCTCCTCCTGCCCAGCTTGTCCTGCAGGAGCTTTGTCCACAGTTGCTTTTAAGTGGTGAGGGCTGAGTGATGTGAAGAGACCCACTTTCACCACATTCATAGCCAAATGCTAGCAAAAGCTCGGGTCCTGACAAGCAAGGCTGGTATGCAGTCTGAGCGTGGCCTTTCCTTGGCTACCCGCGTAGGAGCTAAAAAGTGCAGAACAGTTGTTGAAACTGGGCACTACTTTTTCCCTTCACTCCGTGCTTTATATCCTGTACACAAAAGCCTGTGAGAACAGAGAGTCAGGTCACAGCAGGGCCATTGCAAGATAATCCCTTTTCTTTCTGGCCCTTGTTCAGCCTATGCCTGGTCGGCTCTCCTTATCTGCTGCCTTTGCACTGACACACACTCAGAGCTTCCTCAGCCAGAGGCTAGAAATGTTCAGTCTGACAGCATGCCTTTCCCTGCTGAATCCCAGCCACTTTATCCGCCACCTGACAAAGTAGGAAATAAAACCTGAGATCTCTCTTGGTTCCTCAGATGTGGTTTATCTCCCCCCACCCATATCTGCCCTTTGAGATTATTTCACGACCAGGCTGGCCCACCTGCAGGTCACTTGGGGTTTGTAGTACCCTAATGCAGTCATTTACCTTTAACATGAACATAAGCAAGAGAGGCCCCAACGTCAAAAGCCCTGCAAACACGTTGCACTCGGATATCCAACTGTGTGAGAGGCTCCACAAAGGCAAACCAGCTCCTGGGGCCTGTGGGGAAACACCACTGAGGAGCTTGCAAGCCATGCCAGATTTGCACGAAGAGAAGACAAAGTTTCTAGGTGCTCATCCAAAGTGCCACATATACCCTTGATACCCCTGAGTCAGTTCCCAGCCCAGTTCAGGATCGCCAGCTCAAGGGATCACAGCAGTAGACATTCTCAGCACAAAGGCTGTTCAAATCAGTGGGGAAATTTCTCCTGATGTGCAAAGAGTTTGCTTACGAGACAGCAAGTAAAACAAAAGCCATGTGTAATGCTGAAGGCTGACAAGCATTTGACTGTACCACCAGGGATCTTCCACCATCTCATTCCTCCAGCCACCAGCCACAGGATCCACTCTAGCTGCTGGGATTTCATGGGGTGCTCAAACTGAGCGCACAGCCCTCCCCAAAAAACAAGGCAAAAGATGGTCAAGGCTTACCAGCAGGACAAAAGTCCATCCTGAAGACCGCAATATATTTTCAGCAAAGGTGTTGCTCCTCCTTGCCTTCTGTTGGTTCAGATGCTTCACAGAACTGAAACAACTTGGAGCCAGTGACCAAGACAGTAGCAGCATTAGGGGGAGGGTTGCCCTGTGACTCCACCCCTCCTCTCCTCGTCCCTGCGACCACATCTCATGAGCTTGCATCAGTGAAGGAAACTGTACGTGCATACTGCTAGGACCTAACAGGGGCTCCTCCTGGCTACTTCTGGAGTGCAAAACCACAAATACATTTCCATCCCAGCAGCTTTTCGGAGAATCTCTAAGTGCGCATCTCTGTTCGAAGGGACTGAGATGAGCAGTGAGAGGCTGATAGTACTTTGAGCTTTTGTCTGAGATACACCGAGGAGAAAGGGGGGAAAAAAGGAAGTTCTTGATTCAAAAAACCCGTCTGATTCGGGAAGTGGTTTCATTTTAAAGGAAAGATTATTTCTGTGTAATTCTGCAGCAGGTGGTGGGGGAAGGAGAGACGAAGACTGCAAAATTGGAGGATGGTTGATGGAGAGAAGAGAGTATTTTTCTTCTTCTCCCTCCCTCACTGCTCACTAAGTGACTTGTACTCTAACTCTTGCTCCATTTTTTTCCACTACCAAACTGCTTTTCTTGGGAAGCCTTTTAAGCAAGGGTGGCCTGAACTGAGGAGGAATGAAGTCATCTCTCAGGTTTAGTGATATTCCTGCTGGTGCGAAAGCTGGCATTAACAAGACAGTTTTGAAGGCACTTGTGCTGCTCTGTTCACCTGTGAGTCACAGGTGCTCTTTTTCCACCACTCCCCCCACACAGCCCCAGAAGGCTGTACACATCCCCTTGCATTGTACTTGGTTGCTGTGTGATTTATGTGGTAGATCTCTGATGTAGGCAATGTGGGGGAAAAAGAAGCATGCAGGAGAGCAGTATGTCAGAGCCAGAAGAACTGGTCAAAGTAAAATTCAAACCAGATGGGATGCCCAGACAGTGCTCTTGACTCCCCTAGGAGGACTGAAGCTGTAGAGGGAGTACTCCTCTCTATGCATGAACACTTACCTCTGAAGCACCCTGCATCCTTAGCTCCCTAACCTGTTCCTGTAGTCACAGCAGGCCTTGAGCAGGACAGACTTCCACCTACCATTTTTCCATGAGAGAGCAAGGTGGAGTTTGCAAGAGCATTGCATGTGTAGAAAAATAAGAAACAACACTCTGACTTGGTATGCAGTCAAAGCTAGCATCTATGTACACTTGCCAACATTTAGAACAGGCTCCTGTGAGGCTGAAGGTCCTTGACTCACTAGGAAAGGAAGAGCCATTATCTTCCCACAATCCCATTAACTGAGTCTGGTCTGAGATCCTCTGGAGAGAAAAACTGAGTCTTTAAAAGGTTTGATGAAAAAGGTAGGATCTACCGGAACACTCTGGCTAATTTCCATTGCTCTAGGGTCATTCAGCCTCACAAAGAAAGACACAGATTGCCCTCATTCCTCTCAGTCACTTGCATTTGCTCTAACCTGTGGTTATGCTATAGGTTCAGTGCTGTTATTGGAGAGGATAAGCACTCCAATGAACCTCCAGTGATGAATGGGAGATATCTCAGCCTTAAAGTTGTCAAGGGGTGGCAGAAATCCAGAATGAACCCACACAGGCATCTGTGGGCAGGGTCACAAATAACCTGTGATCTTCAAGAAGAGTCAGCGTCAAACATTCAGCACTCACTTTTCATGGTCAGTGTCAATATTTTCAAAGCAGCTGCTAGGAGCTTACTTGGGAGGGAAAAAAGGAAGGAGAAAAGGGCAAGCTTTATTAATGCAAACTGATTTCAAACCATTACACCCATGTCTGCCCTGACCTTCATTACACCTAATATCCATGCTTCACCTTTATCAGAGCCCTGCCTTTGGGTCACAAACTGTGAAGAGCCCACCCTTTATAAACTCAATTTCTGACCTGAGATCCTGGGCCACATGAGAGGACAATCAGAGCTGGGTCCAGCGTATCACCTCTAGTCCTTCTATCACGGTTTTCAACAAAAAAAAAATTGTTGCAGCAGTATTGCAGCTGACATCAGACAAGCCATCTAAAGCACTTCCTTGAAAGACTTGATCTTGTCTGCCTCAAAGGTAGGTGACATATGTAGGCAGTTTGATCAGAGGTGTTCTTATGCATGTGTCTGTGGCCAGGTCAAACCACAAGCACCCTGCAAACACCAAAATGGATGCCTCTGTGTACTGCAGAAATATTCTCAGCCACTCCAACAGAGAGCAATGCAAAACCCATACCTGCGTCTTTAATCCATACTTGCTTCATCTATTAACTCCTTGATGCTTCCTTCTCACAGCTTTTCCTGCCCGACTCTTGGAATCCCTGACTGCCCTGTTTTGAGACCTCACCTACTAATTCAGTTCAGTGATCACCTCCACTGCTTGCATTCTCCTGGTTCTGGTAGCTTTGTTTTAACAGTGATTGGCCTTGATGCACTTTAAATGCTTTCAGTTATTTCATCCATAGGAGTCTGAATGGGAAATACATTGTTAAAAAACTGCATAAGTCTATTTCATGTAAAAATGAAACACCTGTGAAATGTTTTCTCATGAGGGTACACAAGAAGGGATACGGGATCATATAGCTAAACTAAGCCTAGAGCATCTCCCATTCCTTCCGAAGTGCAGGATAAATATGTCTCCTTCTCCAGGTCCTTAGTCCCCCACTCATTCACATGGTGCACAAACTAGCTTGGTTCCAGGCTTGCTCTGGAGCAAAACAAACAGTTCCTCTTGAAGAAACCTAGCCCCAGATGAGAGGTCAGGTTGTTTGAGCATCTCAGACAGGCAATATGGGTCTGTAGTGAACTCAGGTAGACACCAAGACTACCCCAGCCAGCAATGCACCAGGAAATGCACTTAAAGAAAGAAAAAGGGAGAATGAGGGAGGGAGGGAGGGAGGGAGGGAGGGAGGGAGGGAGGGAGGGAAGGAGGGAGGGAGGGAGGAAAGCTAACAGGCACAAAAACAAGCAAGAAAAAACAAGCAAACAAGCAAGAAAGGACACATAAAAAATAATTATGCCCCAGGGGCATAGAAACATCAGATGGGTCCTAAGGGAGATGAGATTTAAATGCTATACAGTGTGGTCAGAGCTATCCCATAGCAAGTGGCTCAGAGCATGCGGGTTCTCCCACTGATGATGTTAACAAGGCCAGCATAGATACAGCCTCGGTCAAATACAGACTAAGCAAGGAGAATTTGACATGCAGCAAAACCTAACTTATGCGGAAAGATACCAACATCCAGGGGACACTAATTCTTATATTGGGCACTGATTCTGGCATCTTCCTGCTTCTAGAAAAACCTGTGGCCTATACGTTAAAAAAAACCACTACGATGACTGCAACAACATCTAAGAAAAGAGCAACCCAGAGGAGATCAAGGGCATATCTCATCAAGGAGAGCACTCCTTGGAAAAGCAGGAGACTGGAGAAAGAACCAAAGAACATTTTCCAGGTGATAGAGATTATTTCAGCAAGGCAAAGAGTAGAGCTGAAAATGGCCACTCCTGGCTCCAAGACATACCTGGCTTAGAGGTACAAACAACGTTCTCTTAGAGGTGCAAGAAGAGGTGTCAACATGGGAACAAGAGGACTGGGTGGGAGGGGGTGTTGAGGGACCTACATAATATCAGGATGAGTGAAGGGGACTATGACACATCAGATATGTCTTGGGTTGGATTGTGGTGGGATTTGGCCCTTTTTGTCCCCTCTTATCACTCCCCTCCACAACCACCACCAAAAGCAGTGCTTCTCCTGTGCCACCGGAGCTGTTGGGAACAGGGACAGGAAGAAACAGATCCCTGAAAATCAGTGCTTGTGATACAGGACTGGCGTTAGATTCAGTAAGTACTTCTGCTGCTGCACATCCTTCCCAGCTGTGGTTATCTCAGGCTGGGGCTGCGTGGGTAAGAGTTGGGAGTGGGTGCAGTGGGAGCATCCAGGCTGGTCCAACAGTTCTCACCTCATTGAGCATAGGCAGATTAGGCAGACTGCTGCAGATCAAGACTCCAGGCTGCTCCCTGTGCCTTCAATGCCACGACCCATGTTTTTTCTCCCAGGATGCTCCCGTGCTATACACAGAGGCTTAAATTTGAGCTGTAAATACCTGTTGTTCTGGTGGTCACAAAGGAAAATATCAAACCAGCGGTGTGGGTGCACTTTTCTACTACTTGATATAAGCTTAAAATTATTGTGTAAATAAAAAAGAAATACAAATATTTCCTACTACTTTCAAGGGAATAAAGGCAGTGACAAAGTGCCGTATATTTCTCCATGCTGAACCTGTCAACTGTATTCCCACAACTATCCACAGAGAGACAAAGTACTGGTCTGTACAAATTCAATAGCCCCTTCAGGAGGTTTAGTCTTCCATTCAGGCTGGGCTTAGGGAGTGCAGTATGTCAGGAGATTGTAGCATTTCTTACACAATATTGTTGAGATTATGAGCTGCACAGACAGTATTTTGATGCAAGGCAAAACAGCACCAAGCAAAGACAATAACAGGATTTTTCATATAACAATTGGAATAAAATAATCCTTGTCCAATGTGAGGAGCAACAGAGACTGTGACAGCCAGAGCAGTAGCTCAGGATGCAAACGGGCAGGCAGTAAGTAAAGCTCCTAGCGCAGAGTACCTGGGATAACCTATTTTCAACTGCTTTTACTAATTCAAGGAACAGGAGTCTATTTTAAAGGTAGAAAGATGTTGATTATAAAAAGCCACAGGAAAAATAAAAACATCTTATAAAGATTACAGGAGGGTCGTTTAGAGTCTGATAAACTTGAACGAAGTACTAGAGGGATTTTTTTTGTTGGACTCCTAATTGCAGCAAGATTGAAGTTTTATGCCTTTGAAAAAAAAAAAAAAAGAAAATGGTAGAAGTCAAGCAAAAGATTTTAATTTGGTAGTTCAGGAAATATTAGTTGTGTAAAACAGAGTAGCTATAGATTTCCTTAGTACTCTAAACATCTCTTTTCACTTCCCTGGTGCAGCCTTCCTAGAAGATACCATAACTTACCAG